CCCATGGATCCCGCTTCTTCCAGAAACCAGCGCAACCGAATCGTCTCTTCTGGTACACTCTTCTCCTCTCCTTTCCTTTCTCTTTCGTTATCTCTCTCTGATTCCGATCAACAAAAATCCCCAATTTGTTACCCAAACCCTAGCATCATCATAGAGCCGTTAATTGCTCCAATGTTGGTTTGTTCTACTGCTTACGAGATATGTTGACCTCGCGCAGGGGAAAGGCCGGTGATGACGGATAATGGCGTGGACCAGGTATGTAATTCTCTTTTTTTTTTCTCAGTTTTTGATTTCTCTAAGTCATCCATTCTCCAGGGCTAAATTGCGTCGTTCCTTTTCACCAGCAGGTTTCTCCCGAAGATGAAAGGAATGTTTCTTCTTCTGCAATTGGTTCTTCTTCTTATCCCGCTCCATATTATAACGTCCTTCAAACCCCTACCAATCTCTATCCTTACGATTGGGATGTTGCACATCCTGGTAAATGTGTTTTCTTCATTCTCGTTTTCGTATTAAGCAATTTTGGAAACAACCATTGTGAGTGCTCATTGCATTATCGTTGTGTGTTTCCAGGTTATCCTCAAAGCATCAATAGTTGGGATGGATATCCACGGTATGCTACTACCCCTGAAGGCCTGCATGTGCCACAGGTTAGAATGACTTTGCCCTATTATGTTGTTATTTTGCTCTTGCTACATAATTAATGAATCTAAAAGATTTTTATGTTGTCCTCAGGTTGTCTACAATGAAAATTCATCTTTTATTTACCACCCTGGTTATAGCTACAACCCTTATTCATCTATAATGTTGGAAGGCCAAATTCCTATCTCTCCAGCTTATTACCCGCATGTTGGTGCACCTTCAGCTATGCATTTTACTCAGTCAGAAATTGGTGGTGACAACTTTCGTTTTGACCCAACTACTGGTTATATGATTCCTTATGGGCAATTTGGTGGAGGCAATTTATCTGGGAATCAAGGGGGTAACTCTTTAACATCCCCTATACCTTATCCTCAAACGATGGGTATACTTGGCCCATACGATCATAATACTTCACAGGTTAAAACACTTTCTCTTATGTTTAACTTTTATGCGCTGATGTACAAAACCTTTATTTAGGCTGGTTAGGTAAACACTTGTTTACTAGGAATAAGAGTAAAACTGCAGAAAAGTGCCACTGATTAATGATTATTAGTATCACTAGCGGTTTTTAGAGTCCATCTCTTTAGCTTTTCCCTGCAAGACTTTGAATACATACAGACACACAATCTAGAAGAGCCATGAAATGTTGTCATATGTACACCTTGAATTCAAATTACTTCACTTTTTTTAGGGGCTATTCACATTTTTTTATGGCACCTTGTATCAGTTACCATTGCATGGGAGTGGGGTTGCTTCAAGCTCTTCTTTGGGAGCTTATTATCATGTAGGATCTTATCAGAGTCCCACCACTATCGCCTCATATCATGGAGCTGATAATCCAGTCAGATTAACCCCTGACATAGGTAAACGGCGAGAGAAGGAGCAGGGTTCTGTACCGACCACCAATGATCTATATGGTAATCGTGGACCAAGGGCATCCAGCAGGGCAAAGAGCAAGAACAGCACAAGACTTTGCTCATCTGCTGGCGATTCAACGAATGATTCGAGTACAGCTGGACCAAATCCCAGTTTGTATAACCATCCAGAATTTGTGACGGATTATAAGAATGCCAAATTCTTTATCGTCAAGTCATTTAGTGAAGACAATGTCCACAGAAGTATCAAGTATAATGTCTGGGCCAGCACGCCACATGGAAATAAAAAATTAGATACTGCTTATCGAGATGCTGAGAAGATGGGTGGAAAATGTCCAATCTTTCTTTTCTTTTCGGTATGGCTTTTTCTATAAATGTAACTAAAGGTGTAATTGATAAGTTTCTTTTTATAGCAACGGGAATACAAGTCTCTGTTGCGCTTCAAGGGAACTTTGAGCTTAACCAGCGTTTTAATGTTGCAGGTAAATGCTAGTGGACAATTCTGTGGGGTGTCGGAAATGGTTGGACCCGTAGATTTTGAAAAGGATGCTGCTTACTGGCAGCAAGACAGGTGGAGTGGGCAGTTCCCAGTGAAATGGCATATTCTAAAAGATGTACCAAATAACCGATTCTGTCATATCCTTTTACAAAACAACGAGAACAAGCCGGTGACACACAGCCGAGACTCTCAGGAGGTTGGCCTTCCTTGCTTATATTCTTGCCTTGCCTAGTGTTGTTTTATTTGTTTTCATTCACTACTGTCTAGTTATTGGTGTCACTATGATCTGCGTCTGCTCACAAGTGTCTGGTTTTATGTTGACAAGTCTTGTGCAATTTTACATTATAGTGTATGACCACTGGGGCGTACGTCCCCAGCTTTAATAGGGAAATCCTTGGATATGTGTATTAGGAAAAAGGTTAATAGCTGTTGGTGTAGGAATTTGGAAACACGTGAATTGGGTGGTGCATGGCATTAACTAACAGAAATTAACTTAGTGGAACAGAGAAGAGTAAATTTTTAGTGGTAGGGAGAGATTTGGAAACACATGAACTGGATGTTGCATGGCTAACTAACGGAAGCTATAAGTTTGTGGTGAATTGACTTAATTGATTGATGAACTGTAATAGGTGAAGCTACGTCAAGGGATTGAGATGCTCAGAATATTCAAAGAATACGAGGCACACACATCGATCCTGGATGATTTCATCTACTATGATGAGAAAGAGAGGGGAAAGGCGGGAGGGAAGAGAGAAGACGGGGAAGAAGAGACATCCGTGGAACAGTTGTCAGAACGTCTTCAAGTTGTGGCACTAGAAGATGGAAAGGATAAGGGGGAAAAAGAAGAGTTAATATAACTGATTGATACAGTAATAGTAAGTAGAAAGGAGGCATTCTTTTTGGTAAACAATTGGGGGGGGGGGGGGGTTCTCTGTTTTCCTTTTTTGGGTGGGGGGTTTTTTGTATACTAAAATGTCTAAGCAGAGATAACAAATCCAATTCCTTGTAAGCATTTTGCGCTTTGTTCATCAATGAACCGCACATATCTCTTTGTAATCTGACAAATCAGAATAGCCAAAAAAAAATCTTAGAAACGTCGACGTATACAGGTTATAAAACCCAAAAAAAAATTGGGATCATGTCCTCCTATACCCTTATAGAATAGATACTATTTTTCACTACTCTTATTGAGTCTAACTTCCCTTGGAGTAAAAAAATAAAGATGAAAAAGAAAATAAATTCAGATGGGACCCACTTCGTGAGTCTCTCTCCTCCAATCCGATCCAGCATCTGTCCTCGAGCTCGACTCTCTTATTCTCGAATCCACCATTAACGTCCGACCAAGCTTTGAAAAATTGGATTGAGNTGATTTCTTGTTCTATTTCGCATTTGAAACTCANAAATTGTGTAGTGAAGAAGATCTTGTACAATGTGCAACNATAATTTTGCAAATCAATTGAATTAAGCATTTTGTAGATTTCAATTTTTTTTCTTGAATGCTCATTCTAATCATTCTCGTTTGTTCTTGTAGTCGATCTGGGTTGAATTGTGATGAATATG